GAGGTGAGGTTCCTGAATAAACATTCAAGGCCTAATTTTGACTGCTTTTCTTTGCAGACGTTATCGTAATAAATCAAAATAACTGGACATTAAAGATTTTTAATGACATAACCAGATGAATGAATGGCCGTTCGAACAAAAACACTCAATACTATGCAGGTTCCAAGAGGCAATCCCTGAATTTATTGGGAGCCTTTCCTGCTTAATCGCTAGGACAAATGTCACAATAGCTGAAGATAAACCAATTGCAAGGCCCCCCACTCCATTTTTGAAGGCTAAATTATCCAAGACCGTAACGGACTGAAAACCAGAAACCCTATTGAAAGTTTTCGACCAATAACTTCATGACAGCCTCGATGCAAATTATACTGGGTCCATGAATGTTTCCATACATCAGACCACAAACTATTTTCAGTGAGAGTTTGAAATTTTTCACGTGAAAGGTCTGCAAGTTCTTTGGAGCAAGTCCTTATGTTACACTGAAGATAACACTTTGCCCTTTAAACACGTTGATAGGTTACTTTTAATTGGTTTACATTACCCGGATGTGATGGCCTGTGTCCCAAGTTACTAAAGAACCTGGGACTGTATGCACAAGAATTGATTGCAAACCTCTTCACCGCCATGCACAAGACAAGCAGTATCCCAACAGACTGGAAGCAAGTCATATTCATTGCCATTCTGAAACCCTGAATGCCGAAATCACGCATGTCCTCCACTTACAAGCTCATGGAACATACCATGTTTTCCAGACTTTCTCTCCTTATCGACCCCCAACTACATTGTGAATAATCCTGGATTGTGTAATGGCCATAGCTGCTGCGTACAGATCGTTGCCTTCAGCATCCTCATGGAAGCTGGTTTCCAGTGTCAACAGAAAACCAGCACAACAATGAATGATCGCTCTGCTGCCTATGACGCCATTTGACATCATGGCCTGCTGCTGATGTTGGTCAGAATGATAAGATGGCTTTCTACTTTACACATAAAAGTCGCGATGCTCAGCAACTGTACGTTCAGGGTACACCTCATTAGTGAACACAGCCGCAACATATTTTTGAATGGGCTCCCTCCATATTCGGTAATAAGACTGTCACTAATTCGCATTTATATCAGAATTAGAAATGCATTCTTGTTTAGACTGGAGAACGAATCCAATGAGCTGTGAAGCCCTTTTCACAGATGTCCAGTAGGTGTGGAATGGCGAATTACAACAGCTAATACAAAAAATAGGAGTGCAATGTAGATAAAAGTTTAGCAAGTCACTATAAATAAATACGACATTAAGTATATAAGTACAAATTGCATAAGTGCATTAATTTTTTTCAACATAAAATACAGTCCAAAACAACACACAGCCCCTCAATAAAAAATGGAAAGTTACATTTGAGCTATAGACACACAGGTAAGTGAACTGACGATACACGGATATATATTTAAGTAGCCTACATTATACATTACCTCGCAAGAGTATATGTGCAGATGACATAGCTCTTGCCGCACAGGGTATAAACCTAAGAACATTGCTAATACTCTAACAACTGATCCAACTTATTAGAAGCATATTTCCATCACTGTGGTAGCCCAGTGCGCTAAGACTTCACTCCAAGATATCCAGGGGTCATCATCAAGCCCCACATACAACAGTTCTGTGGAAAGACCAAATCAAGAATCGTCCTGCTGCAAATATTTGCAGGATGAACCTCGGATGCCTCAGCTGACGTACTGTCAACTGCCACCCTATATATCTTTGATCTATTCAGTGGCAGAGTATTGTGCACCAGCCTGGTCCAGAAACTCGTACACAAAACTGAGAGATGTACAATTAAAAAAACACAATGTACACTATCGCCAAACCACACTGAAACCGATATCAATCACATTGATTCCTTTTCTAGTCAAATTGTGTCACCAAATATCAGCGGAGACATGCAAACTAAAGGGTATTTACATGTTTTCTTGCCAAGGATAACCATCAACCCCTCATCCAAGCCCTCTACAATGTACCACTGTAGTTTGTGCTACTTAAAACTACACCAACCTTCTCCTAGAGCACTCCCGTGGTTAGAAAACATCTATTGGCATTTAGCTCCTGAATATCTTGTCATATGCAAGAGTACAATAAAATAGGATTCATTTTCTGAAATCACTCCATCTTGTTGAGGTCCATTTCTTTCTTCATTATTTTGATCTCAGCTCATATATGAAGAGGATGAAATTTTGGATATCGCACTTCAAGAACTTAGCTCATCTATGTCAAGGATGGCATTGGGGAATGCTCATTGACCAGGTAGATCAACATCTGGACATAATCAAATAAGCACACCAGATGTTACTCACTCTTTTGCTGGGCCACGCATCTAGATTTCAGTTAGTGTGATTGCTTATATAATTAATTAATGTGCATTCCCAATCGCGAGTAATTTAGTAGGAACAATACAATGACGAATAGTATGAAAAATGTCTGACTCACTGTGCATGGGTTTAATAGTAACCACCAAGGGATTTTAAGGAAAAAACACTCAAAGAGTTGATGCAATCTAAGACATTTTTTGTATTACGTTTCACAGCTGTAATAGCTACGGGTAGCCAGATGCGTGTTTTATTCTATGTGACGTCAAAGGTTATCAGCGATTAGACGCGGACCCCCACGTGCACAGCAGGGTATGGGGTATGCCCCCAGTTTAGATTTTGGCTGACTCCGTACTGGTAAGCTTTAGATTACATTTGCTCCAATAAGATGAAACTTAAATTTATATTTACTTGAATGTCAATCAACTGACAGGAACTTGGTAATGTTAATTGACTGTTGATTGAGATATTGGTGGCAATGAAAATGTGCACAATTAAGACGTTGATAAATTTAATTTCAATAGATAAGATACTTATAATAATTGAGTCTACAACATTAACACTGGCGCACATTCTCATTAACAGCAGAATTCAACTGCGGTGTTGTGACATGGAGGGTGTTTCTGATCACTTGCAGGTACGAGATTTTCACTTATGTTTTAGTTGTATTGGTTGCCGTTTTTCCATGACGTTTCCCCTTGAGAAATCGGCCTCGTGGTAAGCAATTTAATTAGTTCTATGAGTGTGAATAATAACTAGAATTGATAGATATAACGTAATTGGAAGATTATTAGAGTGTTTTGGTGATGAAAATAGAAGTTGTTTTTGGAACCGTTAACATTTGATGTTGTGTTGCGTTGTACTATTCATTGGGAAGGAACAAAATGGCTGACTTAGTTTAATTTTAACATTGAGCTTATGTGGGGGGCAGAACAGGTGTTTTATCAGTGCTTAGATTCCTGATACGGGTGTAGTGACGTCACAGATGTCACTGTATGATGCTGGCTCTAGAGAGGCAAGGTGTGCGATGTACTCACATCGTGGATATCACATATTTAGTAGGATCGTGCATGTCACCGAGTAATGCCGGCTCTAGCAAGGCATGGCGTGCGATGCACCGTCTTTGCGAACACCACGTAGGTGGGTGTAGTACCAGCCCTAGTGTGATCTTGGTGAGCACTGGGATAGCACAGTGGCACCATGCATGGGCGTGCAGTGCTGTCTCCTACCAGAGGGAGTGGGAGAGTGTCAGCCCAGGGACACTGTTACCCTGGGCAATGGCACTCTGGTTGACCCCGATGGCACGTGACCGGTAAAGTCGACAGGGGGCCCCCAGATGGGGGCTACGGGGTGGTCACGTGTCCGGGGGAAAGTGTGCTCGAGAAGAGTCGAGAGAGAGCCAGAGCTCTCTCGAAGGTGGGCGGGGCCAAGGGCGGAGCCGGCCCCGACCCGGGAGCATATAAGCCGGGTCCCCGCAGGGACCGCGGTTGTTGTTGCTACCGTCATCTGAAGATCTACGTTCTACGTCAAGAAGAAGCCTCCAACACGTGGTCCGGGACCCGAGAGGGGTCCGGTCAGTTGTATCTAACTCCTAGTATGTTAGTGTAATTAGATAGGTGGTCCAACACCCTAGGCTGTATCTGGTAAAGGGGCAGCTACCCCTTTGTGTATTCGTGTTGGTGTAATAAATGCGTTGCCTCTTAGAAGTTCGTCTGCGACTCAGTTGGGCCCACTACACTGGTATAAGAAATAATAATTGTATCATGTGTTTATTGTAAATAAAATATAATTTATTCTAGATTTGAAGCTTTCGTGACTGCAATGATTCATACTCTTTGTTTTTAAAACACGACGTTTCGGAGGCAACACAAGCTTCCGTCTTCAGGTGGTACAGACCTACCCTCCCCACCCACGTCCCTTCCTAGCTCCTCTCCCCCCCCCCCCTTAACCTGTATATAATCCCTGGTATTCCAGAGCCGTTTTATTTGAGGATACAGCGAATTTTTACTGTGTCTGTACCACCTGAAGACGGAAGCTTGTGTTGCCTCCGAAACGTCGTGTTTTAATTTAGTTGTATTTTCTTTTCTTTTAACCTACGTGACTTTACCGAAAAAAAACAAAGAGTATAAAATATAATTACTCTAATTTACATATTGATAAGACAATTTTGCATATTTTTTTATCAATTATGTAAATACGTATTGTTTCGTTTATGCAGTATTATAAGGGACTGTAGGAGGTACAACAGATGTTTTGGGCAGATGTTTTATTTTAGATATTAAAATATTTCTTGTAAAATGCTTGTTAAAAATATCATATTAAATTTTGTAAGATATGATAAGTGTCTGTTATAATTTAGATTTGGAATCCAGCTGCTGTGTTGTGACTTGAAGGGTGTTTTTGATCACTTGAAGATACCCAACTGCCCTAGACGTTATTTCAATTACTACACTCGTTGTTTCATTTGATCCTTGTTTGTACTAGTGAAAACGCTTTACATCAAGTGCATAAATTGATGTTCTGTTATGAGCACGTGACAGCCCATAAACAGAAAAGTGTCTTCTGAGAACTGGCATGTGATGATAAATTACATGACTAGATTTTGACTGCCACAACTTTCTTTCACAGCCTTCATGAACCATGCTTACCTGTATGTGGATGTGGATTTTTTATCTCCAATTTCTTTTGAATAACTTGACTCAGCATAGTAGGAGTTGGATCGCTTGATAACTGCTTTTGTGGTTTGTGCTTTAGCCTCAAATATGTGAAGTCTGTCCCTGACACTGTGAAATATATTAAACACAGTGTTACCATTGTAAAACACTTTAATGCTCCATACACAAAACACATTTAGTTTACAGTGGAACATTTTCAGTCTAAGGTCTATTTTGAATAGTTCTGTTGACAACCTTACAAATTATGTGTTGCATCTCAACGGACTTTCCAGGTGAAGCATTTGATATTCACATATATGTAAAAAAGTTACCATGTTGTGAAAGTGAAAACATTTACAATGGTGTGTTGTGATTAGTGCAACACTCTAGGCTTCCAGAAACCTGGGTTCCATTCCCTCCCTTGAACACAAGTGGCACGTTGTATCTGAGCAATACCACAGCCACCCAGTAGATTGATGGAAATGTCGTTAAGGAACTAGTTTGTTTTATTCACTTTGCGCAGTATATTTAGTGCTTATAATTTATGTGAATTGCAATTTGTTTTACGTTTGTGCTGTTGAAACTCAAGCAATGAGTCAGCTTTGGTTGGATTTGGATTATTTGTTGAAATTCGTATGCAATTCAGCCCAAATGGGGTTGTATAATTGATATTTGATACATTAATATACAATCACTAACATATTTTGTCAATCGATCACAATTAGTTTAACCCACCCTATCTAGGCGGAATTTGGAGAAACATTCATTAGATGAGTTTATCAATTTAATGATCTCAATCTAATTCATGCACATAGGCTTGAATTGTGGATCTGTACGTTATTATTTAAGTTATTTTTGCAATTAATAGTACCTTACAGAGTACATTGTGTATGCCATGTCGTGGTGGAATTCTTTGGAGGTACCTTTGTGAATGCTTCTTGATGCAGCCTTGTTCTTCACCTGGCTCATCTGTCTGGGCATCATCATGATAGTCTTGACTTCTCGGAAAAGTTGAAGATATTCTGAAATATAATTGGAAATAATACATCACTAAACGTCGTAAATATGGCTCCTCTTCACACATGGTTATTCTCATTTCATTATCTGCCCTTTAGGTCATATTCTAAACAAAGGTACGTGCAAATAAAATGTGTTTAGTTCCAACACTTATACCCTGCAGATTTGTTAATAATAATCTGAAAGATCTTGTATTAAATGTTCTGCATAATAAACTGAGCGGTTTGCTGTTATACTAATGCAATGTTTCCTCGTTGTCAACCAATGTTAATGTATGTTGATCTTATTTCACACTGTACGTAGCCAAGAGCATTTTGTGAGGTCTTGGGGGAGGGGAATTCCCTCAGCCCAGACATCATCATGGGGCGAGGTGGGGACGACCCTGTTAGGGCTGCCGTGTCTAAAATATTGTCAGAAGTAGCCACTCATTCTGAATGGTTGGCTGAGGTGCTATCTGTGGAGAAAGTGTGAGGGGCGATTCGGAGCCTGAGATTAGGAAAAGCACCGGGAAGAGATGATTTCCCAAGAGAAATGCTGAGGGTGGCATCTGTTTGCAGACTGCCCTACATGACATCATCACAACTGTCTGGACCACAGGACGGGTTCCACAGGATTGGAAGGATGCCCTGGTGGTCCCCGTCTTTAAGAAGGGGAACCGCACAGATTGTAACAACTATAAGAGCATTATGAGACCTCCTTTGCCAGTAACACGATATAGTAATAGGTTTTTACCCTTTTATCTGGCACAAAAACTGACACCTTTATACAAGGGATCATGTTTGCAATAACCACAACACAAGTAGTCAAAATGCAAACAAAAAAGACAATTCTGATAATATGCACTGTCCTTGAATTTGATTGGTCCACACCCGAGACGGCTTTTCTTAGAGCCCAGTCTCCACTGGTGTTGGACCAGAAGACGCCAAAAGGCGTACAACTCAAAAACAGCACACCATCACGGTTCTCTAAACAGCTCTCTTTATTCACTAGAGTAATTTTGCTGTGGCGGTTACACCTGAAGACGGAGCCTTGTGTTGCTTCCGAAACGTCGTGATTTAATTTAGTTGTTTTCATTTTGTATGTTATTTAAATTTGTGATGTAATTTAGTTCTTTTCATTTTTATTATTTTTTTATCTACGTTACTTTTCCAAAAAAACCAAAGAGTATGGATCCTTGCAGTCACGAAAACTTCAAATGTAGAATTTATATATATTTTTATTATGTCAAAATTTGTCTACAATTTTCAGTGTTGTCATTGTTTCGGTGATCCCAGTTCAGTGTGCTTCACTTACAAAACTAAAGAAGGGATTAAAGATGTGGTAAGATGCTCACAACGGGGAGTGCAGAATACTGTAAGCACCTCCTAGCCTTCACACCAAAAGATGAAAACATACCGCACCTCTGCCTACTGAGCCGTTAGTAATGGACAGCCTTATTTTTCTCATAGTTACAAATATAACAACTAGTGCAATTGATTTGAAGCTTTCGTGACTGCAGGAATCTATACTCCCAGGTTCTTTCGGTAAAGTCACTTAGATAGAAAAAATAATAAAAGAAAACACGACATTTCAGTCGCAACACAAGCGTCCCTCTGCTGTTGTGGCTTTATATAGGCACGGGGGGGGGGCGAAGGAGTATTGTCGAATCATTGCTGTAGGAGTTCACAGGGGAGAGGGGGGAGGGTTTGTGGCATGCAGGGAAGGGTGGGGCTGGAGAAATTAGCAAGTAAAGGAGCTCCAATTTGTAATTGGACAACAAGACACACGGGGTGGGTGGGTGAAAATCATAGCAGTCAAAACTTGGTGCGGTTTATCATGATGATAAACCGCACCAAAACTCCTTCCCCCTTCCCGTGCCTATATACAGCTACAAATACAGATAATTTTCTCACCTGAAGACAGACGCTTGTGTTGTGACCGAAACGTCGAGTTCTCTTTTATTATTTTTTATATCTACGTGACTTTACCGAAAGAACCAGAGAGTATAGTCCAATTGAATAAAAAAAATATCTGCGGATTAAGCTAGTTGAATTGTTGGTAGTTAGTTGACCATAGACCAGAATGCCTCATTGGGCCTAGACAGTAGGCCAGAATCAAGCTCAAATACAAAGGGAAAGTTGGAGAGGGGAATACCACCCCACTAAGGTGTTGAGAATAGCATTCAGACCTGATAAATAAACATAGAACCCCTCTCAACTGTTGGGGGTCAGAAATAGGAGGTCCAACATGCAATGCGGGAAGCAAGAATAGTTTTAGTTTGTACCACCGGTATTTGGTGCACCCTCCCTATCTCCTTCCCTTGTCTTTTGCCCTCCGACTTCCCCCTTTCAACCTCCATAATATCCGGGGATGAGCAGCCTCTTATCCCTGACCAAGCCTACTGACAAGTTACTCCTTAAATGTTAATTGTCTCAACCACCCAATCAAGAGAGAGAACACTGAGATACTTAAACAATCTACAAACTGATTTCTTTTCTACGAGAAACCCACTTAACTTTACCTGACTCAGTTAAACTAGAGCTTGCATGGGTGGGAAAGGTTTTTACAGCAACGCATACATCTCAAAGTAGAGGTGTTGCAGTTTCATCCATAAAAAATTACCTTCACATCCTCCATAAAAGTGTGTTGAAAAATAGAAGACACGCCTTTGACACACTCTTTGTTTCTTTCAGTAAAGTCACGTAGGTAGAAAAATTAAATAAAAACAATATATCATACATGGCGATATATTATTTTATATTATTTGTATTTAATTTTTCTACCTATGTGACTTTACAAAAAGAACCAAAGAGTATGGATTCCAGCAGTCACGAAAGCTTCAAATTAAGATTGAACCCCTTTGACACTGCAATATCCATAACCCCCTCAAGTTAACACCTCCACAATAAAAATGGTCACAAAGCACCTACATTCAAACGTTCATGATATTGTCATAATAGGGGGGGACCAGAACCTGATTTTCAACCCTAGAATAGAAAAAAAAACTCCCCTTTCACCTAAAGAGAAAAAAGGACAGGAAAGCCCTACTAGCTATGATGTCAAAACTCTATCTCATATACTCTTGGCATACAACCCACCCCCTTGAAAACGACTACATTCACATATCCCGAGCCCACAAAAGGCTATCTCGAATTCGCTTATTTTTGATACCCAGAACACTGCTCCCACAAATTACAGAGACCAAAATCATGGAATTTCAACTATTTGACTATGCTCCTATTACCCTCCATTTTTCTCTAACCGAGAAAAGCTTGTTCACAGAACATGGTCACTCAATGCAACGCTTCTTAAAGACGTAATTACTGATGCAGATTTCAGACGACATTTGGGAATTCTTGGGACCTTTCCTGCCAGTATTAAAATATAACAAAGGTTTTACCCTTTCTGGCAATAAATCAGATGTTAAGATGTTAAAACACCAAACCAAAACCTTTTGCAAGGAATCATGTCTCTATTAACCACACATAGTTGTGGTGAACATGCAAACCAAATCATGCTTCGGCAATATATGCATTGTCCTTGAAATTGATTGGTCCACACCAAAGACATATTTCTTTAGAGCCTAGATTCCAAAAGTGTTAGACCAGATGACGCCAAAAGGCGAACAGCACAAAGACAGTGCACTATCAAAGCATTAATAGCTTGGATTCCCTCTAAGTAGACGCACGAGACAGGTATATCCTCCATCGCCACTCCTTTGCAATAGCTATAGAACGACTGGCAATGGCCCTGAGGATATCAAACAAAATAAAGGGGGGTACAAGGTCCTGGGAGAGAAAGTATGAAAATACCTTTACTGTATATGCTATCGACATTCTCCTAACACTAACCAACCCCTCTGAATCTATCCCAAACATGCTCTATACTATCAATATTTTCAGCACAGCAGCAGGATATAAGCTAAATATAGCAAACTCAGAGATTATGCTACTGACACCATCTATGCAATCTTTTCCTGAGATTTAGAATGCCCAGTTCGTCTGGTCACTAAGCAGAACAAAGTATTTAGGGGTGAAAATAACAAAAACCTACCTTCTCTTTTCGCTGCTAACTTCCATTCGTTCCTATAGTCGACTTGCATTCACTTCAATGTTTGGAATGCACACTGCTTCTGACCTGGATCATTCCAGGGTAAATCTTTTTGCAGATGGCACGATACTGATTACTGCTGGCCGCTCTCTGGATGACGTGATTGCTAAGTTACAGGGTGATTTCAACAAACTACAACATCAGCTAGTTGCTCTTAAACTAGTCCTGAATACCTTCAAAACCAAGGTGCTATGCTTCTCACCAGGACTAAAGCAGGAAGTTATTTTTCCCCGATTACATTCCTTAAATGATTATCAAATAGAGCAAGTCAAGATCTATAAGTATCTTGGGGTCATCCTGGATTCAAAACTGAATTTTGAAGATCACATTGATTATATTGGTAAAAAGACAAAAATAAAAATTGGTTTTCTGTATTGAACACAAGCACTGCTTCCCCCCAATGTTCCGTTTGGAATTGATAAAAGCTACCGTACTGCCTCTACTTGACTACTGTGACATCGTGTATAAATCAGCCCCAAGTACTGTACTGAAGAAGCTTGATTCCATCTATCACTCGGCCTTAAGATTTACATTGAACTGCCCATATAGGACTCACCACTGTGATCTCTACATTAGGTCAAACTTAACATCTCTTAATGTTCGACGGCTTGTGCACCAGATCTTATTTATTCATGATGTACTTCCAAAAAAATCCGCAGACTACCTGCTGGATCTCCTCTCTGTTTCAAAGAACAAATTTGACCTCAGGTCTTCGCTCATTTACCAGCTTCACATTCCCTATTGCCGTACAAAAACTGGAGGAAGGGCCTTTGCTATTGATGCCCCCAGAGTCTGGAATACTATTGCCAACAAACTGCAACTTGAATTACTACCATTGAGATCTTCTCTCAAAACTGCTCTAGAGGAGTTGTACACCCCTAGCTGCCACTGCTATTCATTAGCGTAAAATAAAATA